CACGCAATGTGCAAAGAAACCTTGGTTGCTTCCTGATGCTTGTGAAGTTCTTGAAGGTGCCGGTAAAGAACGTGGCTGTTGTTGATTTGCATAGTTTGCATCTTGTTTGCCATCTCCTTTATCTTTTCCTTTTCCTTTCTTGCCTTTTCTCTTGCCTTTTCCTTTTCCTTTGTGGGAAAACCATGCTTCTTCAAGTTGTTGCCAAAAGTCTTGGGCATCTTCATGTTCTCCTTGAAGATAGTGTCATTCATATCTTCGGCAAGAATAGCATCATATGCTACTTGGTTTGACTTCCAAGTGTCCTCATAAGGATTCTCTTCAAAATACTCATCTGGATAAGTTGTCGATTGCTCATCAGCATAATGGCCCTTACCTCGTCTCTTTCCTTTTCCTTTTCCACGAGGTCTGAAGAATCTGCGGCCTGATCTTCCTTTACCTTTTCCTTTTCTTCTTCCTTTTCCTTTGCCTTTTCTGGCTCTTCTTCCTTGGAATCTCCTCTGGAACCAAGAGAAATTCTGTTCATCATATACCCAAAAGACATCGTCTAGGGCATCTAGGAATCCTTCTGTTCCATCTTCTTCATCTTCGGCCCAATAGCCATATGTACCATCGAGTTCTCCTTCGTCTAGTACGAGAAATGATCTTCTACCTCCAGCACCTGTTGGCTGCATCAGAGGATTGTCTACTGACGTCTTTGTTGCGCAGAACATCTCAATGAAAACTGTCCTCAACTCTATTGTGGTGTATTGCTGCAGGACTCTACCACGATGGGTCATCAAAGAGGTCAAAGTGTTCCTCTCTGGTCCTGAGACAAATCCGCAAGTGACAGCATGAGTAAGGCAATGAGATTCTCTCCTAAAGGAAAATCGTTCTGATGAAGAATTCTCAGATTGCCATTCACATTCTGCATGATTTCCTGAATTCTTTCTGCTGTTGGAGCTACTCCAGTCATCGCTGCATCAGCTTGCATCTGTGCTTGTACCTGAGGATGTACTTGTGTTACTGGGTCCAACATGTCCATCCAACTGCTCATAAGCCTTTGGAGTAAAATCTGAAATCTTGTCATCCACTTCATCATGTCGGCTGAACCGCGATTGAAGCGCACGAATTGCATAAACCTATACAGGAATACATTGGTTGATCCTTTCACGAAATATGGTCGTAGTACTCGTTTGAAGTATTCTACTCCAGCTCCTGGTGGATCATTCGCCTTCAATGCATCTCTGTCTAATACTCGCTTGTATACGGCTGCTTCTCCTTCTAATCTATTTCTCAATGCTGGTCCTCTCTTCTCATCTTCCAGCTCGGTGATATCACACCAATCGTCTATGGCATCCTCATAGGAAAACCATGAAGTCTTTCCATCATAAGATGGGGGCACCTTTGTAGTGACCTGTGTTGTCATTGCTATCGCTGCTGGTTCTCTTCTCACATGCCTATTCACATAGGCTGCTGGCTCATAAGCCACATCCGCATCAGGCTCTTCCCAGTCGTCAATCCAATCCATGGCCGGTTGCCCACAAGCAATTCTATGCCTAGGAAAGGAGCTCACCTGGGTCTTCCAGGATCACTGCTCCGCTACCACTGAAAGAGTGACTAGGGCGTACACGGTTGAGGTGCAGACCGCTAGTGTCTTTTATGCGCAGAGTCTTATCCTCTTGAGCCTTATGGCAGTCAAGTATGGACACACTAGATAGGCCACTGGAGTGGAACCTGTACAAGTAGGCCTCTACATTTCAGGGGGGGGGGGCGTCAGGCTGTCGAAAATCTCGCGCGGAGAGACAAACCGTAGATTGAAGCCAACACAAGCAATACTAACCAAAACAATCCACAAAACACGCCGGCAGGCCGGCGGATTTTCATAAGACTTCATGATATTACTGCCTGCTCAAGGTGCGAGCGTGGGTAAACAGGCCGCACGCAGAGCTTCGGACAAGGCTCATTCATTCGCACTGATTCACTCTTGTGATGACCATCTTGCTGAGAGTCCAGATCCACGGTACTGCAGGTAGGCGCTCCCAGTCTTCCCTTCAGCCCCTCCCCCGCCCGATTTTAATTTCACGGTCAATGTGATGATAATGATAATGATGTGAAGGTAATGGCAATGGCTATAAAGCCGATGCTAATTGTGAAACTGATGGCAGTTTTGGACAACATTGTCGGTGACAGCCCACCAAAACACCAGGCAACTGATCAACCCGCGGACGACTATAGTGTGTGGATTTATCCGAGGAGCTGGGTATCGGAACAAACTTATAGAGTTTGGAAGCACGCAAGAACTTCATCAATCTCAAAGCCTCATCATGAGGTGGTCGTAAAGCCAACCACATTACGGTCCTGAACATCATGTCAACTTTAGCCTGGCCGAGAGATGTACTGTACACGTGTCGCTGTTTGCGCCTAACTAATCTTTTGTGGTTGGGTAGGCGCACCAAGCATGTTAACTACTATGATACAGTGCCTCGCAAAATAGTGCATCAGCAGTGGCTACACGTGCACGGCGCACGTCCTTCGGCTCGAGCACTGGTCAGTTGAGGTGTTAAACCTGACATGACGTGCTACCCATCAAGCTTCTGAGGTCAAACAGTTGGGTCATAGTTGAAAGGTAGCGCAAGGGATCGTGCGAAGCTGATTTGGCTTAGGAGGACTTAGCAGGGCTTGTACTTGAACCGCCACAAGGGTAGCTTACGCGCGCCATGAGGGTTATGACTTGGCAGACTTGTAGCAATATCATGTGATGACATGTTATGAAATGGGCGACAATTTCTTGATGAATGGTTCTTTAAAGTGGGTTGGCACATGGTTCCCATGAGGTTGCCATAGAGACCTGATGAGACTTGTGTGCCACAGTCTAGCATAGGACTTGGCCGATTCCCCAACTCACTCTGTCAGGATTTTGGTTGATATGATAACAAGTTGGAGGCCATTGCTATCAGGTTCCTTTTGCTATTAGTACCAGGGCCGCTATGCAGACATTGCTCCAGAAGCATGGCCTTTCATGCCCTGCCCGTGGCACTCCCATCAGCTGTACAGAGGAGAGGCGTCTCTGGTGTCAGGCGTTTGCTTGGAAGCTTCATTCGTGCAGTGCACCCAGATTTGTCCCCAGAGTTTCCGCTCGAGGCTCGACGGATTAATCAACGTTCATTGGCCGAGCTGAACGCTTTTGTTGATCTCTTGGAGAGCGATGAGGTGCGAAAGTTTGAAGATGGTCCTGAATCCGCTCGTGAGCTGCCGTTTTTCCGTGCTCTTCAAACGCGGCTTGGACGTGTGGTACCCAACCGGGTGTCGCCCCTCCACTTGCTATTGCCGTCGTTGCCGGTCTCTGCCAACCACCTTGAAAAGGAGTTCGCCGCTGCACATTTGATTCGAGGAGCAGAGGTTGCCTTGGAGCCTTGGTGAAGGATGTAGGAGCACCCATTTCTCCGCACAATCGCCCGTCTAATGTCTAACTGTCTAATGATGTCTAATATTCCTTGTTATTCTGTTTTGTTGTTTTCCGATGTTCTTGTGGTTGCTTTGAAAATCAAGTTTAGGAGACTTCTCCGAGCTCATTTTCTCAAAGGCCAGATGTTCCCAGGCTCTTCACAAAGCCCGGCACAGGAAGGAAGGCATTTGACAAGCTTTGGTGGCAACAGACTCAAGAGGAGCTAGTTAAAGACGCCATTCACGGTCCAGATGATGAGGAAGTGCGGCTTCATGTTGCAAAGCGTGTCTTTGCCTGCAAGTATGCCAGCCAGTTGATGCGGCAATACGTTCGTATTAAAAACACGGCCAAGCGCAAACGCCGCCTGGCAGGCTTGGATGAAATTGTCCAAGCAAAAATTGCACAGAAGTTCCCTTCAATTCCAGAGAAGGAAGAGGTGTTTGATGAGAAAAGGGATCCCGTACGGGTCTTGGAAGGAGGCTTTCATCCAGACCTGGTCTTTATGGCGCCTGATTTGTCAGATCAACATCGCAGAGAGGCCATCCGTCGTATTTGTGGGATGAATTTGGAGAAAGACTCAGACTTTTGGCTTCTTGAGAACCTTTGGAAGGCCATGCGGGGTACCGCTCCAGCTGTTCCGCTGGTTGTAGCAGAGCGCGACTATAAAGCACACGAGAGCGGGTTTATTCAAATCCCCTGGGATTTTACGGTGTTGAGCCTTTGCGATCTTTTGGAGGAGCATTTGGACACCACCCGTGAACATCTGCGGAGGCGACGTGAGGGATCTTCACGCACCAATCCGCCAGCTCCAGCTCGGATTGAGTAGTCAGACCTTCGGGAGGAAAAGATGGTGCTTTGGGATGCCGGGATCAAATTGAAGGTGCATTGTGCGGTGTATTTACGTTAATTGTATGTATAATATGGATACGAATTAATGCTATGAACTACAAATCGCTTTTCTTGCCCTTGTGGCTGGAGGTTGGAGCACTTGTGATTTCCATTTTGCAATGTTCAGTGTTCAACTCCTTCTTTCTGGAACGACAGCTCTTATCAGCTCTTCTTCTGGCACAAGGAATTCAATTGTTCTAAAGCGGCTTGCATGATGAGCTGTAGAAAAGGGTCATGGGTCATGGGGCATTCGCAGATGGCGCGGATATGCGCTGACCATTTTTTCTAGGTCGATTTTTGGCTTTTGTTCATCAAGGTCCTGGACAGAGATGCAGTTGCTACTGCGAGATAGAAAAGGCAACCAACTGCCATCATTCAGAGAAACCAGATACGTTTCCACATATCTGGATATTTCTGGTATATCTCTCGGATGGGTCTTTTTCTACATCCGGCATACCTAACGTGATGGCTCAACACTTGCATGTATGTATTATAGAAGAATGCGTTTGAATTTCCTTAGGTGTATTGCAGCACATCCACAACACTACCTACATCGTCCAAAAGACATGTGCAGTTTAGCCGCTTGGCACCCCCACCCCCAGTACTAGTTACTAGCTCACAACACCAACCACAAAGACACAGACACACCCTTACATCAACATGGTTTTTGCATATTTGGATTTAGGCAAGCAGCTTTCTTTTGAGCTCATTTGAATCATTTTGCTCATGGAGAACCGCGCGCTCAAGACCCGTGGTCTTTCTCCGTACCTCATTTTAGCAGCAGCTTCAGTGGCCCTTTTTAAGGCAATTTTGCAAGGTGCGCCAGTCTTTGTCAGTTTGCGACCAAGGGTTGGGAGGGGCCATGGGGGTGAATCGGCGTCTGGTCTCGTCGACAATTCACATGGACATGGACCTACTCACGGAGTGAGACAGTGCGATTCAGTGAGACTTGAACAGAAACCTCCATGAAGAGCTCAGGCTCAGATGAGCTTGCACGTGAGCTTGCGAAGGTTCATGACCTGATTGTCCTCGAACTTGTTCTCACACAAGTGGGAGCCGAGCTTCTGTAAGTCTTTTGGAACTTCCTCCATAAGCGTAGGCAGTGGGCGAGGCGTAAGCTCTAAGTACTTTGAGTCGAAAATGCATGTATTTTGATGTACTTGAGTGTTTCGTGTAGTAGCCATCGTGCCTGGAAGTGCTTGCCAGCAGTGTAAAGGGCTTGGTTAATCCTCAGGAACATCGCGCCATAGCGCAACAGGAAACACCGTGCATTTCGTTCCAGCAAGCTTTCCCCCCTTTGCTGGATTCGATCCTTGCGGCAGGCGAAACAACAGAGATGAACAGAGAGTGCATGCTTCTAAGTCTTCAGTCTATTCTTCACCAATTGTTGCTGGCTGATGCTTGCAATTACGAAACGACAGCGTTTTAGGTCAGGAATTCCGTGGAAGCTTTGCACAAGCCGATTCGTAAGCTTTGCAGAACTCGATTTGTTCATTAAGCAAGTTGCCAATGGATAGTATTCCAATGTATTCCAAAGCTTCGACATTTCAATGTATCACTATTCTCCATCCCTGCCAGCCTTCCCAGCCATGCCCCTTGCCTGTTTCAATGCAAACCTCCGCCGCGCAAGCTCCGCGTAAGCTCCCGGCAAGCACAAAATGATCCCGCGTAGGCGAACACAGACTGCACAGAAGCACTCTCGAAGCCGCTGCATAAGCAAAATAGGACTATTCCATGCAAGGAGAACCTAATTAGGTGTTCAACGCCGCTCGGTGGGCCTATGTGGGCATGGTTTGGATGACTAGTGGACCTCGAGTGTGGACTTTTCGCTTTCAGTACCAGGTGAGCTGGACACCTGCGACTCTTTGCCCCGACTGGTGAATCTCAGCAGTGTCGCCAAGGACGCAGAGGCTCAGGCGGGTGAAGGTGAAACATGGTGAAACGCAGCAACATGGCAACCCTAGGAGCATTCTTGCTACTAGGAACAAAGGGCATCGCTACTAGGAGCAAGGAGGCTACTAGGGGCTCCTGGCCTTAATACTAGGAGTAAGGACGCTACTATGTCTTGGGAGAAGTGGCCTGGAGTTTCCCATTGGACCGCTTATATATTATAGTCGACACGTCTAGAGTCAAACCTTCAGCATGTTTCAGCCTTAATTGCCAACTAGTCTAATACATTCCTTTCGTGATGTCAATCCCTTGAGACAAAGGAAGGCGTGGAGCACGCGTGTGCCGACAATAGGACAGCTGCCCTGAAGGTCGAGAAACTGACCTCGGAAGACGTCCATTTGTTAGAAGCTGAAGCTGTACTGGGCAAAGCCCTAAAACGCCTGGAGCAAGGTGGCAGACAGCAGGCCTTAGCAGCCCAGGAGATGCTTTCGTTTGCCAAGGCTTTTCTTAGTTTGACCTGACATGTTGAAATGTTACTTGTATACGTAGACTCTAAATTACAGTTCTAAAGTGCGCAGCTGCAATGAGGAGCTCAGAGAGAGCGCTGTGTACAAGGAGGTGGTGCGGTATTCTGAGCTCTTTGATTCTGCAAGGGCGACGCTGCAACCAACCAGGAGCCTTTCCTGAATTCTCCCAGATTCTTCATTCCAAGCCGTTTTTCTAGGCCTAAGTATAGGTGTGTCCAAGCAAACGTCGATCATTTCCAGTCGACTAATTTTTTGCGCGCCCGAGGTTCAATAGTGTTTGGTCTCGGCCTGATGCTGAGTTCTTTGTTCGGTCTCCACCTGGCTCCACCTGGTTTGAATACAAGGCCAAAAGCTGCGTGTTCGTGGCGAATGGGAGAATTTGCGCGTGACATCTCATGGCTTTCCATTTTGTTAGTAATTTTAATTATATAGATTCTAATTAAATTATATAGCTTCTTGTTACTACTAGTAATTTTTAAGGCACTTGTTACTAGTAGCGATGCCCTTTGCTCCTAGTAGCGAACCTTGGATGCGTGTTTCCATTTTGGCTAGATTTTACATGTGGATGCTTGAAGCTTTGCTTCAGCTGCTGCCAGGTCGTTGCACAGATCGAGCAGAACCTTGTGAATTGCATGGCCCCTTTGAGCCTTCGGCTGAATCATGCTTAGTCTAAGCATCTCTAGGCACATGGGAAGCTTCAAAAAGTGTCCTGATTAGGGCTAGGCTCGAGGATCGCCTGCAAAGAAAGCAGCACTGGCACGCAGACTAGATGCGAGACACTTCAATTAAAGGCCCAGCTTTTTTCTGGTATGTAGCTAGCATGGCAATCGCAGCAAGGCAGGAGAGGGAGCTCATCCTGAAGTACCAGCCTGTTTTCGTGGAGCCTCACCGGGATCTCATCAAACCGACACCACATCACGGCGTGGTGCGAACTTTGGCCCGGATCCTGGGATTCTACATTGAGACGGTCTTTGAACTCGTGCGAGTGTCCAACAAAGAGTTCGGCTTTTTGGCAGCTCGACTCACACAGAGCTCGCTTGGAGGGCAAGTGACAAGTGCATGTTTAACATGTTTCGCCCATGAGAATCATCAAAATGGATGAATCACAATGGAGTATCCTTGCATTTGATCGCTTTTGCGACTAGGTGGAGGTTGCCAAGAGTGATTTCCCCATCAAGAACAGCCTCAAGCTCCCCAAAAGGCGCTTGTTGAGCAAGCGAATTCAAGTGGACACCAAGAAGCTTGGCTAAAACTGGATCCGCAAAAACTTCCAAGGGGTTGCGGTTGTTACAACGTGTTAGTGCTTGATCATGTTTGATCTATTTGCACTGTAGTTTCAAGGAATCTGTGGCTTCCAGTGGGCGGTGGCAAAACTGGGACGATCGTGGTTTCAGTGAGCCGCGTCCAGGCTGCCCAGAGAATTACCGGAGGGATAGGCCGGCAATTGTTTGCATGCTTGGAACTGTGCCTTTACAGGTTGGCGTCCCCATCCCATCCAGCGCCTTGCGCTTTTTAGCCAACAGCGACTTGGAATTGAAGCATGCTGAGGAACCTTTGAGATCAATTTGGTCAACAGAAAACCTGTTCCTTTTTGGCAGGAAAGGTTTTTCCGAAATTCGATTGGTTCCTTCTGACATGTCAGGGGCATGGCTTGCCTCCCCGCCCCCCCCAACCCCCCCAGGCTTCACCAAGAGCATCCTGGGCAACATCAAGCGGGGATGCGCCCTGAGCTCCGACGTCACTTGGCCAAGAGATGAACAAATACCCAGACCATTCGAAGACAGATGAGGTTTCTTGTCGAGTTGCCCATACTTTGACAGTGAACTAAAGCGGCTAAAGGATATTTTTCACGACGGTTCTTTTCTTCGGTCGCATCTATTTTAGTTGCTGTGCCGTTGGAAACCAACCGTAGCACTGAATTGCCGCAGTACCCCTATCAAACTTCTGAACCCACCTGGACCCAGACGAGGGTGTGCAGAATGAGGAGCTTTGCGCACATTGGGGAACGCAATGATGCGCAAAGCCTTTCAGGAGTCCAGCCCCTGGCACAAACGCATCAAGCGTGATGCAGATGGCTTTTACCATGAGCTGGCTACTGTGGAGGACGGCCAATGATCATTTTTTCTTTAGAGGGCTGGGGGCTGAAGTCCGTACCTGCCGAGCAGCTTCTTCAGGTGTTGGTTCAATCCAGATTGCTCGGCTCTCGTTGTTGCGCAGCTTGATAGGACGCCGCTCGGAAGCGGAGGAGCATTTCCATCTCACAGCTGCCGAGTGAAGCAATCTTCGATCGGCCATGGGGCCTCTCCAAGTAAAACTTGCAGAGGTCGATAGTAAGACTCTGGTAGAGGTTAAGTTCCCAAATATTTTAAGCACAGTAGTCACCCTTAGTCAGTAGTCCTAATAGCTATCTCTTAATGTCTCTTCCTTGGAGGTGGATTTCACGCCATCAGATTCCACATTGCCATGGCGGCACCTCCACAATAGCTCCCGTTGGCTGATGGAGATTCGACTGCCCTTGCTGAAGAGTCCAGACAATGGACAAGACTGAAGAGTCCCAATGAGAAGTAGGCTTCACCGCCTAGTTTGTCAATCGAGAAGTAAAATGTGGGAAGCCTTGATGAAGTTAAGCGCTTAGTTTGATAGTGGGTGGCCGAGTCTGAGTGGCCTCTTTTAGAGGGCAAGCAAGCTTGGAATTTGAAGCAGCTTGCCTAAACCTGCCGAAGTGGACAGATGTGAGGTGAGAAAGTGAGCCTGTTGACTTGAAGGTGTTCCATGGTGTATATATTTTTATATATTTATATCATCTATATTCATTGGAATATATATATATATACCTATGAACTCATAGGAATATAAACTCATCAC